ATATAAGTCTAAAATTAAAATAAAATACTTTGAAAATGGATTATTTTTATCCGAATCTTCCTCAACTTTTTTCCCCAATTTTAAACAAGGTTCACAATAAATATAATCAGGCATTATCGTGCTTTTCTTATTCTCATTCTTCAAAATAAGATTTCCAAAGTACTTCCACACATAACTTGATTTTTGCTTAGTAGAGAGAGTTGTTATTTCATAATTGTATATAGGGTGGTTTAAAACGCGCAAATCCATAAAAATAATTAATATAGCCGAAATGAATATGGTGTATGAATGAATGTAAATGATATACACTATTCTATTATATAAAGCAATAGAATACAATTCATGTTTTATTATATTAATGTTAATATTCAAATTTAAATAATAATAATTTAATATATAAATATAATTAAACAACATTCTAAATATTATACACGCCGCGCCGCCGCTATAAGAAAAATCGGCGGCTAGCCGGCTCACGCCGCTGATCTCAATCGGCGGCTGTTCCGGCGTGAATAAAATTGCGACGGCGCACAGGTCTATCTGTACCCCAATAGTTATGAACGATTTCCTTTAACAATATAAATATCTTATAATATTAAAACATACTATTTAATATAAAATATTATATGTCAAATCATCATTAACATTTACACGTATTATCAACTTCCATTACTGATAATCATTATTCTATATCTAGTGTGAAAGATATGAAAGAAACCAATTCGCTGGAATTCCTCAGAGACATAGCAAACAAAGCCCAGGTCTATGCAAAATCAATCGCCTGGGGATGGGATCAAATTAGATGGGAATCTCAACAAACCATGTATAGATTTGTAGGAGGGCCGCCACCTATGCCGGAACATGTGCTCTTTCGAACTTCCCCTGCCTCCTATGCGGGAAAGAAGCAAGGGCAAACAACCTCCCGCCTTGGATCTCCTACTAGAAACGTTATCGATAGCCAACCCTCCACAAGCTACGGAAATATTAAACACGGATTCCCTAATAGAAACAAGAAATCTGCAAACAATTAATGACTTCCCTCTCAGCCTCCCCCCATCTACGATCGAGCTGGGAATCATAGACGCCCTGACCCCGTGGGGAGGCAATTGCATTGATGATATGCAAAAACGAAATCAAACGCTGGATCAAAGATGTCAGGCGCCAAAAGTTCTCACCCGCGGGGCCCACAGGCCCAAGGGAAGCTGAGAATGAGATAGACGACTCACGATCAATATCCAGCGCCGACAGTATCCCGGACCTCCCTGTGACCGAACAATTCGACCATAACGGAGAACCTATCATCATGAGTAACATCTTCGCGGATAGAATAACTCCATACACGACCACTGTCATGCCCCCGCCAGCGCCAGCGGGCGACAGTGATTCGATTGGTAGATTCCACAGGCTCTTGAGGTTGATGGGTATTGACACAACGGATCACGTTCAGCTCGATATTCGCGCTACTCTAGGACTCTCAGCGTCGGTCTTGAAACCTCACTCAGATCAATCTCCCTTCACCAAGAGGGTAGCATTGAGGGGTTCCTGCCCGAAATTCGATAACCAGGCAATTAGCGATAACGGGGGATACTTCAAAAACAGATTCACCCGTTTAGCAGCCAAGTACCTCCCCATCATCAACCAGCTGGTAGACGGTGGGATTATCGAAAGGACCGACGCCACGTTCTGTTCACCACTGTTTCTTATTCCTAAATCAGACGGAACGCCTAGAGTAATATCAGATTTCTCCAATGTTTCAAGAAATTTTATTCGATATCCCTTCAGGCTAAGAACGATTCCTATGATCGCCCCCTTATTAGCAACAGCAACAAAGGCTACAAAAATTGATCTAAAATCGGCGTTTTACTCCATTCCACTCGCATAAAGTAGGAGGAGATTCTTCGGCTTTGCCACCTCATCAACTAAGTTTCGTTATAAAACATTACCCATGGGGGCAGCATTCTCCCCGTACGCATTACAAAACATTATTCTAGACTTATGTGCAAAATCAGTCAAGAAAGCAAACTACTCGGTATACCTTGACGACATTATCATATTCCATAACGTGCCAGATTTAGTTTTTCAAGATACCATTTCCTTTCTAGATATGGCAACAGCATGGCGCCTAGACGTCAACACCACGAAATCCATAGTTATTCCCACAGATAAGTTAACATACCTAATAGATTTTACTAATAAATCGGCCGAAATTGATGAGGAAAACAAGGCGCGATTGAGATTCTGCCAATTAATTCTATACAAACATACGCTGCAATCAATGTCAATAGAAAGGAGTATAGCACTTGAAGTTCTAGGCGTCCTAAACCACGACATATATTCGATAACAGGATTGTCTAGAGTATTCGCGCCTTACTATTCTACCATGCTAAACGAAGAGGAAGTATCCCCAATTGACTACGTTAAAGCATACCCAAAGGCCGTTATCGCGATTTGTTCCCTTATGGAACCCTTCCCATTCGTTTTCCCAATAGGACCGATTATCCACGTGGATGCCTCGTTAACCATATAGGGCTAGCTGAGGTAGGACAAGCGGGATACTCGTTTACCTTCGACGAAATAAAGCACGATCTAGGAATCCCAGATCTGGCAACCCCACATATTAATCAAAAAGAAATCCTAGCGATATGGGCAGGGTGCAGATATGGCATCAACAGATTCGCCGTAATCCCTTTCATAGTCACGGATAGCCAGGTACCATTATCAAAAAGGGAGGATCGAGATCTCCGGCGTGCGAACACTTGGTTACCAGAATTATGCTAGCCTTAGGGTTCCGATCTAGATCTATGAAGATCTTTTTATTTTGAGCAAATGTACAACTCTGAAAATCTCCAGACTTACATTGGGACGTTTTTAAAAACCAACCCAAATCGGGCTTTTTAACAGCACTACACCCTAGGAAAAAAAATATTGTAAACAGTCTAAAGGGTTCTTATTCAAGTGAAACCTTATTTCCATTTATAATATATATTTTTGACCTATCATAGCAATCTAAAAAAATGTAATATTTCTAAATGTTATAATGGTGTATAAATAGTATTAAATGATAATAAAACCAATACATTCCATAAAGTTATTATTAATACTTCAAAATAAAATAGAAATTTAAAAAAAGGAACACTCTGAAATGATTTATATTTGAAAACTACAAAATTCAAAGATTTTCGAGGCTCTCTTAATTGCCTAAGGAGACAGTGCTGGTCAAAAATTTAACCAGGTTCAGGAACTGTACCTATTTTTAATACTTATCTCACATAATTCTATAACCTCATGAATAATATGATTGTTTTTAATAAATTTCCAGATTTTAGGAAATAATTTCGGAGCTATCATTATCATTTACTTTTAAAAACTTTTCTATTTCACTTATGAAAAGTAATTCAAAATTTAATATAGGCAATTATTGTGTTTATTTTCGAGAGAAAAATTAGCAGTTCTCTGGGAGATCCGAATCATAGTTTGAAAGTTTAAGATAATGCTTTCCATTTCTTTTTAAAATATTGAATTAAATTTTTACAGATATGTTTTTGAACATAGTTAATGTTATGCTATATAGGTGGGACATTTAATTTTGATGTTCTCTTTTGAGTGGCATTATTGTTATCATCATCATTGAAATAGATAGTTTGAAAATGGGTAACAGGGTATCAATCAGTGCTATCAAGATATAGCATATAATATATAAAATATGCAAGTTATTTCAAAAATGTTTATGCGCTGGCCGTACTCAGCCGTTGTGTATTTTATCAACGGTGGTGTTTTTAGCGTTAAGGAAAAAGATGATAATTAACCATATGAAAAAATTTAACAATAAATATAAGCGGGTATATAGCATATTATGTAAAATAAAATTGTAGCCAAGGCCGTAAAATATTTTAGGTGGTTAAAGTGTAAACCACAATGGAGTTATCTTTTAAATTTCATTCTCAAGTAGATGTTTCTAGCGATGGTTAAATATATTTTATAACTATATTATCCAGACATGAATGGACAAACCGAGTGGTTAGGTTGATGGATTGACAAGCAAAGTGAAAGACGGAGAAAGATAAGTTTGTGTGTTGCCAACATTTTATAATAACAAATTGATGGAAGATAAATTGACATATTCAAATTGTTCCTAGAAAAGTGATCAACTTCAAAATAAATGTTAATTTTATGTTGTCGTAGAAATATTTTATGGATTATTTATTATTTTGATTAACAATTTATTCGGATTAAAGTTTTAAGTAAAATTAAAATATTATTTTAGGCATAAAAGAAACACTAGAAACTGAAATATAAGCGCAAACAATACATGAGCTTGGGGATATGGAAATGGTCATAATTATGATTAGATATCTATTTTATCACTCTATATATTATTCATTTGTCATTTATATTGTGAAAAAAAAGGATATATGTAAATAAAACTCACATGACATATTATTTTGATAATTGGAATGATAGGTGTTTGGGAAAAGTAAATTAATCCACAATTATATTTGAGGCGATAATTATCAGATACTTTCCAATATATTTCACTAAATAAAAATATGCCTTTATTTTTCAATATTCCATTAGACAATTTTTCTCCCATTTTTATATTATAGTATAAATAAGGGTTTTAATAAAATCTAAAATTTTCTTCTCTTTAAGATAAGTTTATATGAAGAGGTAGGGAAGTTTAATTCACCTCTATTTCTATTATACATGATCTTTTATATTCATGAGTTGAGTGTTTTTTGAAGGGGAGGGGGTTGAGTGTTTTCTCTTATGTAAACAAATTAAATTTTTGTTATTAGAATTGGAAAGATACTGGAAGGGAATTTGCTTTTATCACTATGTCTGAAAATTTACATAAAATATATTTGTTTGCATTATAACTTTTAAGATAAAGATATTAAAATATGTACTTACTTTGTTACTAATGCGTAAATTCTATTATATTATAAAATCCTAGAAGTATCTATACATTTTGTATATAATATTTAACATAATTTAATTTATTTAATTTGTAATTGGTTTCCGCCATCTTTTACTTTTTTAAATACTTTATTCGTATTGTTTGGCTTGGTTGTTTCTTGTTTAGGTTGTATCAAATCTAATAGAATAAAAATGGCATTAAAAAGAATAAATAAAGTATTGATACTAGATAACTTAATATGACCTTTTATACAATTTATCTATTTCAAATTTATTAATCTATGGCCTTTTTCAGGAATTACAGGATTTGGGAAGAGATCCTCCTGCTAGCTGTTCAGCCGGACCGGTCGGAGATGATTGTAATATGTTATAAAATATTTAATTATATAAAAATATGAGATTTTCAACTTATGTAATAAAAAAATTAATCTTCTTAACCAATTTTGATATTGATTTTTTTATTAAATCTTATAGTATTAAGGTTGTTTTGATGATACCTATATATTATTCTATATAATAATGAAGATAAGATATCCATATTATAGAAAAATTGATTAAATATCTTTTATAACTTATTAAAATATTTACATTTAATTAAATAAATTTCAAGTGTTTCACTGGCAAGCTACTATCATGGGACCTGTAAGTTCATTTTATTATAACTCATCCTTTTTTAAAGAAATTTTTTTATATTAATAACATTGTCAAGTTATTACATATCAAATGTACCAAATTTAATAGAATTGTAGTACCATATTGGTACTAGACCTAACCCTTATTTTCTCTATTTGGATCTGACTGGTTCTTTAAAAATTGCTGCTTCTTAACTAGATCTTTTTTCAAATATATTAATTAATTATTAAATTAAAGTATTAAATAATTCTTGATGATAACTCATGTTTATTTATATAATATGGTAATTCATCAGTTTTTTTATATTTGAGATTTTGACAACTTAATTTTGTTAAAAATTCTTTATAATAATTTAATTAACAACTCAAATTTAATACAAACAATAATAATATTGCAACAATCTTTTACCAAAATTCTAAAATTAATAGTTCATTATCAAATAATAGTTTCAAATGTAGTAGCACATTTGTTGGAACACATGTATTTTGTAAAAGTTTTAAAAACTACCAAAAGATATAATAAAATAGTGAAAAAATAATACATAATTGCAAAAAAGTGAGACAATTTAATAGACGATTAATTTAATTACTTGAAATTTGGAAAAGATTTTTTTACACAAACAATCTAGTTAAATATTTTTGGAAAAATTTAGTAAGAGTAAGTTTTTATATTTTTTTCTTATTAGGAAATATTGACAAAGATAACAAAATTATAGCTATCAAAATATATCAAAAATAATTTTATTTTTACAAACTGATGAAATCCTATTTATAAATAAATATATTATTTTAATATTCTTTTGTTTAAAATTGAAATTAATAACCAAGTTTTTCATAAAACTTGGGTATATTGAATACTGTATGATTTATATTTATTCTATTAATGATATAAACTCTAATATATAGTATGTAAATTTTAATATTTTTTGATTTGTAGATATCTAATATAAATATAAGGAAAAGTTAAATTTTGATATTCTATGATGACATGGTATTAAATGAAGCTGTTATATATATATACACACACCTACAAAAATACGAATCAAATTTTTCATTATTTATATTTGATTTATATTTTTGAATCAAATGAATATATTATTCCTACAATCTTAAGAATTCCTTATATGTATTTATACTAATCAGGGATGTGAATGATTCAGGTTCAGTTCAGGGAAATATTTTTGAACCTGAGTTTTGGTTCCGGGTTCAGCTCGGGTTAAAGAATTTTTGAATTGAAAAAATAATCTATATTTAAATCATAATTAAAAAATTAGACATAAATTTGGTATAAAAAATAAATTTTTTATTTTATTTATAAGCAAAATATAGTTAAAAATACAAAGCATAGTCATGTATAGATTTAAAAAATTTTATTTAGACATTTCTTTAAATTAACAATATCCAATATAATAATTTTTACTTTGACTTGTTCACTTTCATTTTCCTCTAATTAATAATCTTTAAGAATAAGTTAAAAATTAAAAATAAATGTTGTAAATGAATTGAATTGTTTAAAATTTATTAACAATCCAATAGGAATCTTTGAGAATCAATTTAAAAAAAATTAAAATGGAGTAAATGAATATTTATTAACACTTCACTTAATTGGAAATTTGAAAATATTATCAAGTAAATTATTAATATTTGTTATACAAATTAGAGGTGGGTGTGGGCCTATTTTTTTATTCACGGCCCGCCCACTCACGGTGGCGATAAAAAATATTCACGCCCATTCACGCTTACCACTAAAAAATTTTCGACCCGACCTGCCCACTCACGAAAGGCAATATTTTGATTCACGCTCGTCACACCCGAAAATTCACGGTGTTTTTAAATTTTTCAAAACTTTAATGTTATGATTTTTTACACTTTTTTGAATTTATTCTATTTATTTCTTTAATTCAATAATCCATAATTACAAAAAATAAATACATATTATAGATCCAAATTTTTACTTAGAAAAAGAAGAATGTCTATTTTTTTTATTTCAATTGTGTAAGCCTTTCCTCTAATAGGCGATTGGCTACAGAAAATAACTTTTCACTAGAAACCGAATTTGCCAGGGCTGACAAAATTTTATTCTCTAATTTTCTCAAAATAAGAAATAAATTTTTCTGCTTCCAAAACTTCAAAATATTGCGAGTTATTTGTTTTATAGGATGAATCTTTTAAATTCACACAGCTATCATCGGTAGATGTTGATGCTTCATCAGAATCATCTAAAAATATGTTTCATTTAGAATATAAGGTTTTTTTATGAATTTAGGATGAATTAGGAAAGTTATAAATGACAGTTGGCATTGACTTATGCATATAAATCATCTAATTTTATATCATTTCACATTTTTAAGATTGTTTTGTAAGTATCCTCTTTTCTTTGTCTATTAAAAACCTTACCTTTTGAAATTAGGATCTAGTATTATTGAGAATAAATTTTAAAGTTAAGTAAAAAATCTCACAACAAAACACCTAATCATAAAAAGAAAATAGAACTAGAAGCGTGACACCAGATGTTTATAAAATGCCGAATATTTTTTGTTTTCAAAATTTTTTCTTTTTTAAAAAAGAACTAAATTAAATTAGAAAATATGTATTATAATTATAAAATTGCAAATTTATATTTATAAAAAAATTAAAATTTCCGTGATTAAAGGGGAATTTATGTTCACGCCCGATCACACCCTTGAAAAATTTTGGGAAGGCCCGTCACGCCTAATAATTTAAAATTTATTCACATCACGCCGTGACCCACGACACGATGGGTCACGCGTAATTTCACGGCCCGCGCCAACCTCTAATACAAATATCTTATATTAATTTAAACAATACGCTGAACTCAGTTGAACCTGGGTTCAGATAAAATTCCCAGGTTCAGTTCAGGGTTGTGCAAATTTACAAACGGGGTTCAGGTTAGGTTCGGGTTCAAATTTTTTCCCCAAAATCCAGGTTTTCTTCTCCAGGTTCGGTTCAAACTCCTGGTACTAATAATATAGACATTATCTGATTTAATTCACTGAGTATTCAAATCGATTCGAAAATTATAATCTTTAGGAAATAATTTTGAATGTTTTTAAAACTTCAAATAATATGAATAAGTTATACAAATCAAATAATAGAAAATTAATGGTGAGATAATATATTTCCCTTTTCAAATCAAATAACTTTATTTTCTGTAAAATAAGAGTCGATTAAAATTTTATCAAATTTTTTTAATGTTTAGGATATATTTAAGTTTATTTTCTTTGATTTAAAAAGATAAATGTGGACCATTGAACTTTTTTACAAGCTTTCTGGTCTACCTCATAAAACCATTTTATCCAACCCAACCCAAGAAGCATTTTTGATATATATCTGGTTTTTTAAAGAAAAATTATGAAAGTTTTTGATATAAGGTTAAAAAATTGTGATTTCATCTTGAAAGATTTTTTATGCACAAATATTTGACATTTTTAGTTAAAATTTGGTGAAATTGCTTATTATTTGTTTTATCTAATTTGAATAATATAATATTTATATTCATCACGTGAATATTGGATTAGTAAAATTTCAACTTAATTATTTTTATAAATAATAAAATTATAAATTGTCTATAAAAACTAAAAAGATAAGTCATCATATGTTATGGTGTGTTAATTTGATATAAATTTTTTAGTTACTGTTTTTTTCAAACACATGCAAGTCACTAATTCTGGGCACGAAAATAAAATATATAAAAGTATATATAATTGGGGTCTATATGGGCTGGTTTTTAGCCCACTTTTTTATTTCATAACATTGCATATTTTATATTTAAATAAATAGAGAATTAATCCAACCATTAAAATAGTATATAAACATAGCATTGGAAAGTGGGTTAAATAAAATTTATATATAAGTGGGTGAGTCAACAAGTGAATTTTTATAAAGGACCACATAAAAGTAGGAGCAGGTTAAAGATTTTTAAAACAATGGGTAGATAAGCATTCAGGTTAATCACTGCCTATTGCAGGCCTCTAATCTGTATCTCTTAAATTATCAAAAAGTATATTATATTATTAGATACAATATATATTATTGTATTTGCTTAAAAATAAATGTTTCATAATTTATAAAACATACAGCCAGATAGTCCATATCAAGGAGGCGTTTTCTTTTTAACTATTCATTTTCCTACAGATTATCCATTCAAACCACCAAAGGTATATTATATAAAATAAAAATATATAATATGTATATACCATATTAATTGGAACAGGTTGCTTTTACCACTCGTATATATCACCCTAATATAAATAGTAATGGCAGTATATGCCTAGATATTTTACGTTCTCAATGGTCACCAGCATTAACGATATCTAAAGGTATATTATAATTAAATTTTACATTCGTTACTCTGAAAAAGAGATATAGGCAAGCTTTATAATTTTCAGTTTTACAATTACTACTTGAAGTTAACTTTGTTTTGTGAGGACAGATTGCGATCATAATATATATTTGCTTCCCTTTATATCTTTTAGATTGGATATATTTGTAATATTTGAGCCAAGATCTTGATAATGGATATCAATATCACATTACCCTGACAAATCTCTAATATAATTGATGACATTCCATATATACACATATAACTGATGTTAAAGTCATAAATAATAACATTCGTTTTTCAGTTTTATTTATTTATATTAATAAAAGAATATTAAACCTAAATAATAAATATTTAATAAAGAAAGTAAAATAAATTATTAATGTAGCCTAATCCTAATTATTTACTTGTTTTTGCTTTTTAACAGGAACACTTATTCTTTTTTGAAACGTATTACTATTACTATATGCCATTATTAAAACATGACACAATTCTTATGTTAAATTTAATACCTGATACATATTATTATGGATGTACCGATATTTTATATCGGATCGGGCCGATATTTCACCTATTTTAAAATATCGGTTATTGGCCAATATTTATTTTTATAAATAAAATCGAAATCCATTTTTATGCTTAATTATTTTAATAGTAATAATTAGTTATTAAACATTCTGCCATATTGTTATTTTTTTGCATTCTGTTTATAAAAGTGTGCAATAATCTCTTCAGAATCTGTTTTTAGTGAAGCTAGTGATATAGTCCCCATCACTGCAGGCTGACCTCTGATAAATTGGAAATTTTGGTATTTCTAAAAAGAAATCTTCGATATATTAATTTAAATATTTATTCCAAATTTTATATTATATTTGTTAATTACTTATTTTGTAAATAGATTAATGTTATTACTTATTATATGAATAAGTGATTTTTCAAAAAATATATATATATTATTAGAATTGCAATTGCATTGAATATAAACTATAACTGATCTTTATGATATATTTAAATGACATGTTATGGTATAGTTAAATTATAGATGTTATACTAATAAAAAGTATAATAAAAATTAAAACCATTGGTATCTTTACAGAATACAAAATTAGATAAGATATCGGATCCGTAATCGGCCGATACCAGTTTAATATCGGGAATATCGGATCGGTCTCCAAAAAGTGGTATTGGCACACCCCTACATATTATTAAAAATATTGGGTTGCACGCACCTCTTGTCCACCTCTGTCATTACTATAAAAGTTTATATAAATATCACAATAATTTAGATCAGAAACGAAATTTAAACTCTAGCTTTTTTATTACCTATTATATTAGGCGAAAGGTGCAAAAAGTGCCATTTTTACCTTTTTCCATAAAACGAAATTAATTTGAATTTTAAATTTTATATATTTTATTAAATAAAAAATTGATAATAAGGGAAAAAAACAAAAATGAAGTTTTATACATCCTCATCTACACCGTAGAGTTCTATACTAAATTTTTATATTGACTAATTTTCAATTTTTACTCTGTTTTTTGTTTAATTAATTTTAAAAAAACACCTGTGTGCCGCAATTTTTTAAAACTTATAGGTGGGAGCAGGAGGGATGGAGTGTAAGTGACCCTTCTTGAAGATTTATACATCCTCTTCTTATGTCCACTGTAGAGTTCAATACTAAATTTTTATATTGACCAACTTTTATTTTCACAATGTTTTTTAGTGTTTATTTTTTGGAGTGTGCCACAATTTTTCAAAACTCGTGGGTAGGAGTATGAGTTATCTCCCTTTTGGGGATGGAATGAATAAGCGATCTTCCTTTAATTTTATTGTGTAAATTGTCTAAGAAATAATCTTAACTTATGTATTTTTTGAATACTACAATAAATAATATAAATTTTTGAAACTTTTTAATTGATCATTCTATGACAAATAAAATAAGCCTGCTCCCTTATATTTTTTAAAAATATGGTAAACAATGAAGATATAAGATGAAATATCCAGAAATTTAGCCTCCTAACATATTTTTGGTGATACTAGGGTTCAAATTTTTAAAAACACGAAATATCGGTTCCACCCGATATTTAATATTGGCAGCCCTAGTAACCACTAAATCTATAAAATATGCTTATATAATTTGAGCGATTTATTTTAAAATGGTTAGGAGCTATGCCCTTCTAACCAACCACTTCCATTATTTTTATACATTTTACAATTTAAATTTTACTTCATAGTAAATTGAGTTCTGTAAACATTTAAAAGATAAAACCATTCGAGTTCGTCGTCCATTTGCATAATTTAATACATTCATTTACTAATAAGTGGCCATTCAAATTTGTGAACTTTAACATTGCTAATTTACAAAACAATTATAAACCTTATTCTAATCATTGTTTTTCAAATTAGACATCAGCGTTTCTTAGTTAAAACGATATTCATTACGCATAAATTTTTTATTATTAATGACTCGCCCTCTTGCGCTCGCATTAAAAATTTATCTATTTACACACGATATTCAGTTTTATTGAGCCCGATATGCTCATCTGAGAGAGACAATTTTGAGCCCCCTATTCATGCCCGAAAAATTCACGACTAATTTTGAATTAGGATTAAAAACATGACTGTATTAATGTTTTGCATTTTTAAAAATTTAAAAAACTAAAATTAATGATTATTATAATTGTCATTTATCTATGGTGCTTCTTCACTAAATTTTTAATTTAACATGTTAGCAATTTATATTTTTGTCCATTTGCGGTGAAAAACTTTAAAAATAACTATTATGACCATTGTCACTTTTCTATTGTATCTTCATGAAATTTTAATTTAACATGTTTTCAATCTATATTTCTATCTATTTGTGTCAAAAATATTCAAAAAACTTTAAAAATAACTATTATGACAATTGTCACTTCTTTATGGTACATCTTCACTGAAGTTTTATTTAATCATGTTGGCAATACTTATTTTAGCTCATTTACGTTAAAAAAAATTCTGAAAATTGTCACTTATCTAGGATACATCATAACTGAAATTTTATTTAAACATGTTAGTAATACTTATTTTAGCCTATTTACGTCAAAAATATTTAAAAAACATAAATAACGATTCAGTTGTGGGTAATTCCATACCAAATCGATAACTTTTCGGCTCAACCTTTTTAATTTCGATAAAATTTTGTATACTGAGAGAATATCATTAGAAAGCATCGAATCCAAAATTTTAGCCTCCTAGTACTCATAGTTCCTGAGATATCAATGGTCAAAAGTGCCAAAAATGACGTTTTTTCGAAAAATGCGATTTTTTGAAATTGAGATAAGTTAAAAAATAATGATTTTAAAAATATAAGTTATATGTCAATTTATAACTCTATTAAGGGCCTTTTATTGAATATTAAAAATTTTTTCAAAATAATATTGTTGCGGTTTTTATTTAAGTTATAAATTTTAAACATGAAAACTCCAAGTGTTTCGCTTTCCAAATTTTTTTGAATTTAATATTTTCTTATTCTCTAACCTTATATCTATTCATAAAAAAAATTTAAACTTGGGACAGCCATGGGTTTTTTAGTTATTGCGATTTAAAAAATCAAAAAATAAATATTATTTTCAAAAATAGATGGCGCTCCTTTATAAAATAACGCGTTTTGTTAAAATTATTATTTTTTTTAAACTTTTTTCCATTTTAAACATAAATAATAAGGTTTTCCAGCATTAATAATTTTAAATTTCGTAAAATTATTTATTTAATTTGTAAATATAATAGATAAATAAAAAGTCATGAAAGATATTACTTAATTAATAAATTCGTCTGAAGATTGAGAAATAGTCTCCAGAGTTGTTCTATCTACCGAAACCCATTGTTTAAACGTAATAAGAGCTATATCATTTTTTATAAATAATTTTTCAATGCGTTCTTTTAAGAGTGTCGAGCCAGGACACTCGCTACAGTCACCAAAATAACAGGTTGGTAATGGGGGGTTGCAAATCATTCTGCCTATAACATCTCTATAAGTTGTTAATATATCCTCACCATTTTTAGTCAATGTTGCTAATTCACAGCCTAAAATCATTAGTTAATATTCTGGTGTATGCTACAAACGCATACACTATGTGTTCCGCTAGCCCCTGCCAATATGCAATTTTTTGGTCTTAAGCTTGCGAATTTCGAAAATCCAATTGTTATGCTTGAATTACTCTCCTTAAAATGATTATATAATTCTTTTAAATTATTAAGAACTAGCCTTTTTTGAGCGTTCACTCGTTCCCCCTTTTCAATGATAGATAAGCAATCTTTTTTTCCAGGTAATACCCTATTAACTTTATCACTGCAAAAAAAACTTTTAACAATATCAACTGTTTTGATTGAGATATTTTGCAGGCTTTCGATTTGGAGTTGAAAGAATCCCCTTTTCTTTTAAAATGATTTTGGAATTATATGCCATATGATATGTAGCGTTGAATTTCGTTTTTATTTTATTTGCACTCCAATTAGGAGGCAGAATGGTCAGCAATTGATATTTTTTATTTTTAGATAAATTAGGATAATGTAATTTCATATTGTTTAGTATATCATTATTGTCTTTTGTGTCCGATTCTGGATTGTTAATTATTATATCTGAAAGAGCTTTTGATATTTTTGCTATCTTTTTTTTGGATAATTTTTTTCAGCTAGTTTTTTTTTCTTAATAGGAGATATTCCAATTTCGTTTAAGGTTTAATTGATTGTATCTATTGATGCGGATGCTGTGGGGATATTATTTACATATTCGCTATCAGAATTTATATTTTCAATATTTTTTTGTTATAAACGCTTACGACATTTATCACAAATATAGTGTTCCGCCTCAATGTTTGGAAATTGTGTCATCCACGTCGTAACTTTACGCAGGTTCTTTTTACAATAAAAGTGTTTAGATTCTTTAAAAGGATTTGCACATTTATATTTATACATAAATAATATTAAGAAAAAATTAATATTGAAATATTTGTAAAATAAAAATTAATTAATATCAAGGCAGGTGCATGAAAACTTGTTATTATCTTTCAGAAATTAATTATATTTTCTTATATAGGAATTGTAACTATCTTTTTAGGAAATTAATCATTTATTATAAAAACTAATAATTTTTACAAGTTATCAATAAAGTAATAATAATAATAAGTAAGTCTATCAATTGATCTAAATAATATATTTTCATAATATTAATGCTGGAAAATCTTATTATTTATGTTTAAAATGGAAAAAAGTTTAAAAAAAATAATAATTTTAACAAAACGCGTTATTTTATAAATGAGCGCCTTATTTATTTTTTGATTTTTTAAATCGCAATAACTAAAAAACCCATGGCTGTCCCAAGTTTAAATTTTTTTTATGAATAGATATAAGGTTAGAGAATAAGAAAATATTAAATTCAAAAAAATTTGGAAAGCGAAACACTTGGAGTTTTCATGTTTAAAATTTATAACTTAAATAAAAACCGCAACAATATTATTTTGAAAAAAATTTTAATATTCAATAAAAGACCCTTAATAGAGTTATAAATTGACATATAACTTATATTTTTAAAATCATTATTTTTTAACTTATCTCAATTTTAAAAAATCGCATTTTTCGAAAAAACGTCATTTTTGGCACTTTTGACCATTGATATCTCAGGAAAGTACTAGGAGGCTAAAATTTTGGATTCGATGCTTTCTAATGATATTCTCTTAGTATACAAAATTTTATCGAAATTAAAAAGGTCGAGCCGAAAAGTTATCGATTTGGTATGGAATTACCCTTGTCACTTTTCTATGTTACATCTTCATGAAATTTTAATTTAACATATTTACAATCTATATTTTTATCCATTTGTATCAAAAAACTTTAAAAATAACGATTATGAGGATTGTCACTTTTACATGGCACATCTTAATTGAAATTTTAATTTAACATGTTAAAAATACATATTTTTGCCCATTAGCGTCACGATTATGATAATTGTCATTTTTCTAAAGAACATCTTCATTGAATTTATAATTTAACATTGTCATCGCCTCACTTATTTTACAAACATTTGTATATATATGTTAAATGTCAATCAACAAATTTAATTTCTTACAACTTATGGTTTGAATGACATTTGACGATTTTTTATTTTTATTAATTTTATATTACACTACAGAAAAATAATTACGGATTTTAAACATTGTAAAAAAAAGAATTTGTTTTTGCATCAAAAATAATAGAGATGAAAACTATCATAAGAAAATGATTGTCATTTTGTTTTAATAACAATATTTTTTCCTTTTTTTACCAATCAACAATATTATATATATATATACACAAATGTTTGTAAAATAAGCGAGGTGATGACACCACCCTTATGGGCCAGAAGCATTCATCCCCCAAAAAAATTATATAGGAGAAACACAATATAAAAATATATTAATACATATAATAATCAGTAATAAACTATGTTAATATATGTAACTTTCGTAAAAATTTCAACTAAATATACATTGTGAGATGATGTGTTACAAAAAAATATCGCTATGTAATTGAAGCTACATGACTCACCGGCCGGGAATTGAACCCAGGTCTCCCACGTTTTGTGTTGTAAAAAATTTTTTTTTATATAATTTAAATTGTTTCCATATAAACTAAATATCGACTCGTGGATATCAGTGATTATTACGTCCAGCTGAGGCTCATCCCTAAAAAATGTGGATTAAACATCGTTGCTAGTGGACAGAAGGAGAATATGATTCAATCTCCAGGCGCAAGTTGCTTCAATTGCAACGCGGACGATCATCTAAGAAGCAAGTGCGAATTGCCAGCTAGAGGGGCAAAGCTGCCATTGAAGGACCGCCATGACAATTATAATGGTAGCTCCAACGTAACTACCAAAAGATCGTCCAAAGAAGTGTCTGTAGACTGATTACCGCCAGCAGTGTTTTGGAGTGAACGACCTGTCACTACATTGTGATCCCAAGTGGTGCGGCAAAACTCAGGGCTGTACGGTGCAGATGTTATAGCTTCACAAAACACTGGGAATCTTCTACATCGAGCGATGCCCACGATCATCCGGATGTGCCAAGCACCTCCGCCATCCTATTCAAATCGGGAGTGAGCAGTGCTGTAGAATTATGGGAGAACTCCATGTTATTGTGAAAGCGTTATAGGATATTACATAGTATTTTTTTTAAATAATGACATAGCTCTATTTTTTTTGTAAACAATATATAGTTGAATTTTTTACGAAAGTTACATATATTAACATAGTTTAATACTGATTATTATATGTATTAATATATTTTTATATTAGTGTTTCTCCTATATAATTTTTTCTGGGATGAATGCTTCTGGCCCATAAAGGGGTGGCATGCCATCGCGTCGCTTATTTTACAAACATAATAAAATAAAAAATATTGTTACAAAATGACAATCATTATTTTTTTTGTAATAGTTTTCTTCGTCGAAATTATTATGATTCATTCTATTATTTTTGATGCAAAAACAAATTCTTTTTATGTTTAAAATTCGTAATTATTTTTCTGTAGTGTAATATAAAATTAATAAAAATAAAATTTAAAAAATCGTTAAGTGTCATTCAAACCATAAATTGTAAGAAATTAGGCCACGTCTATTTAAGAGTAAGTTCAGATTTGAAATGTTGTAAGAAGTTATATATATTCTAACTAAGAGTAAGTTTGAGATCTTAGAAAAACATCTTTACAATATAAATATATTTTTACCCTTTTGTATCAAAAAATGTTAAAATAACGAATATGAATTGCCACATTAAAATATTATCCTTAAAAAGATAAATAAAATTACATAAAAAGTTTAATATAAATATTAAAAAAATTATTTTAAAAAAACTAACTCTTTTAATATACTTAAAAAATAGATAATTTTGCAAAAATGATAAAACAAAACTATAAGAGATTTCACCTAATAAATTGTTTATTTATAATAAAATTTACAAAGAAGATTTAAAATTCTTATCAAATCAAAATATGTTCAAAAATCTTTTTGAACTGCAAAAAATATTTTCTGCTTAAAATTTTGGGCGTGATCAAAAATAATATTACAATACAGCATATCATTTTTTTTTATTAAAGAAACATCAAATAAATAAATCCATTTTCTTTCATTTCATTTCAAAATATAAATAAAAAATATTAAATCATATGTTGATAATAATAAAATATTAACATAAATAAAATAAATTATTTTATTATAAATAGTTAATAATTAATGCTCAGTAGAACAATAATTCTACATAATTATATTCTTAAAATGTCTCAATCACATATAAATAAATTTCAGTTCTAAATTGAACTCAAACTAACTCTTGAGCCGGTTTTAGCCAAATTCTGAGGGACTCATGTGTCTCAATGAGTTGCCTTGAGCCTGAATTAATTTTCGACTCAAAAACTGGCTGAGTTTAGGGCTAAACCGACTTGGCTCAGCAGTTGAACAACACTCACAAATAAATAAATTTCAGCTCAAAAGTTGACTTGAGCTAATTCCTGAGTCGACTTGAGCCAACTCCTGAGTTATCATTAATTCGATCTCTGAAGCCGAATTCGGGTCCAGAACCATTCTAAGTTTCGACATAAATATTCTTATCATAATTTTTGTTCACATTAATCAGTAATCCAAAATGTAGCAATTTACCAGACATTTGAGTTAGCCGTTTATAAAAATCGACTCCAACAGAGTCGTTTTACATAAGCCAACTAAGTGAGCCGAATAAGCTAGTCGGCTCATGCGGCTCCTTGGTCGGCTTGAGTCGGAGTCGTTTTTTACGACTCAAGTTGCAAATCCTAAGGACTCTCCTTTTTAACCATACTAATTAATTATAACTTAGTAAATAATTTTTTCTCGCGTTTGAGGTATGGCATATGTATTGTTTCCTTGTCTATTTTTTCGGAACCCAATCTCCATCAATTTACTTTTATTATTGTAACTGAATTTCTTTTTCTAAATCATAAAAATCTTTACCACTGAACTATCAAAATCTAAAAAATTGGACTCCTTCATCACTGGTAAATTTCTGGATTGGCGATTTTTATAATTGTTATATTTGCATGATGTGCCACTGAATACACGTTTAAATATAATTTATTTTTAAAAATAATTTATAATGGAAATAATTAATACTTACATAACGGTTTTATCTAAAAATATGATAGGAATAAAATATGATTAGATATTGCGTTGTTGATAATTGTAAAAATGTAGTCAATTGAAATATAAATATATTTTAACGGACATATGTCGATCATTGAGACTTTTTAAATGTATTTTAAACATTCCTTTTAAGTCAAAGTGTATTCAAATAAGTTATATATAATACAGGGTTAAATACAATTTAAAAATCACACTGGTAATATCGGATCGGCCTTAAAAATCAATATCCCTCTAAATAGTGTTGTAAACAGCTCAATTCAAGCCTATTTTTAAAAACGGCTAACTCAATATTTTATCCAGAAAAATATTATGCAAGTCTAAAGATTTTGCTCATCGATTGCACATAGGATTGAACATCTATTGGCGAAATCTCGTTTAGGCAATATTTTCCTGGCTATAATGTTGAGTTAGCCGTTTTTAAATATCGGCTCAAATCGAGCGGTTTAACAACACTCCCTCTAAATATAATCATAATTTTGTATTTCGCTGCAAATATACAAAATATAATAGTTTTACTATCGATATGTTCGCTATTAACGGATCCAAACCCTGACGATCCTTTGGTGCCAGAAATCGCACGCATTTATAAGACTGATCGCACCAAGTACAATGAAACTGCACGCGAATGGACACGAAAATACGCCATGTGAATACATACCATACACTAACGAAACCTCCTCTTACGCTCTCTTATCTCTTATATGATTTGGCATTTATAATTTGACATTTTGTATTCTTATTTTTTGTCATAAATGCACGAATTATATATATAAATATTAGCTATCACGAAACCTTAAACGCCTGTCTACCTATTTCGATAGAGGTCATGTTATTGATTATTTAAATTTTAGCTATTTATTTATTATTTTAAATTATAATAACACGGTTTGCATTAATTAAGATAAGGAGTCATAAACAAATACCTTTTTATCCCTTCAAAACATGTCAATATTTTTTAAATGACAAAATAAAAACCCTATAATTTTTTTGTAAAGAACTTAATTTGATTTTATGTTTTGTCCTAATATATTTAAATATACATGAATAAATAACATCAGGATATTTGATTATAATAATTAAAATTCGTTTTTGTAAAACCTACATTTCTAAATATTCATAATAGAAATTTGGCAAATTAATACTGAAATAATTGAAAACATTTGTTTTAGTGTTTGAATGTGTAAATAATTTTTAACAAAAATAAACAGTTTTGTTTTTTATTGAATATAAGTTTTCAAAACATAAATCTATAAATAACCTTTAAAAAATTTACATACAAAAATGTTTAATTTCAGAAATATTTTTTTAGAAGAACCTTCTTTGTACAAGGGCATAAGATTACTAAGTTTATTGAAAGGAAATATAAAAATATGTAGCTAGCTACTTTTACAATATTTTTAAGGAATGCTATTTTAAATTATATAATTGTTTTCATTTTATTTCTAAATCAATGGTTATTTCTTCAAAAAGAGTATAAAATTAACTGGTATTATGAATAATGAATTATTTAGGTTCATGCGAATCATATTGTGATTATTGCTAACTGGAGTAAAATAGCAAAAAATTAAAAATGTTTAAATATCGTGAAAGATGAATTGCATAAAAAAGTATATAAAATAGTAAATGCAAAGATAAATAAAAACGAAGTATAAAGAATAAAATTATATTAAAAGAAACGTATTGAATACATAAATCATGAAATAATTCAAATAAAACGTTTCAAAATATATTGAAAATTTATATAAATCAGAGACCTGCAGAGATGGCCAGGATTTTTTTTCAAAAATTTTTTTCAGCCTGGCACGGGTTTTTTTCAAAAATTTTAGGCCTGGCCCGGATTTTTTAAATATTTTATTAAATTTTGATTTTTATAGCTAATAATAACTATTTCAAATATTTGGTTTTAAAATATATGGCCCGGCCTGCGTACCCGGGCTTATTTAGCTGAGCCTGCTGGTAGGTCTGATATAAATTAAATTTTCGGTTTAATTCTTATCGGGCATTTTGCCATTTCATCTATTCATAATTAGGAGTGAGATTCGATATAAATTAGATTGTGATTTTAATTCTCATCGGGCTTTTAGCTTTCATCTATTCATAGTTAGGAGTCTTCGTTATATATTATATAAAAAATAGGTATATTTGAAAGCATTGTTATTCATCGATTATAATTTTCTAATTAGCGTTTATTCATTGAGCTATTGTAGTGTTGTTAAAACGTCGCGACCCCGACCCATAGTTCGGGTCGTTTTTTTGACCTCGACCCGAGTTCAAGTCGAAAAAACGACCTCGACCCAAAATATGGGTCGTTTTTTACTACTCAGACTTGAAGTTTGGGTTGTTTTTTACGACTCAGACTTGAAGTTTGGGTGGTTTTTTACGACTCAGACTTGAAGTTTGGGTCGTTTTTTTCGACTCAGACTTGAAGTTTATTTTTTAAGGCAAATATGTAAAAATATATTTTGCAAACATGTTAAATTAAAATTTCATTGAAGATGTATCGTAGGAAAGTGACAATTGTCATAATCGTCATTTTTGAATTTTTTTTAAGGCAAATAAGTAAAAATATATTTTGTAAATATGTTAAATTAAAATTTCATTGAAGATGTACCATAGGAAAGTGACAATTGTCATAATCGTCATTTTTGAATTTTTTTAATGGGTAAAAATATACTTTGTAAATATGTTAAATTAAAATTTCATTGAAGCTGTACCATAGGAAAGTGACAATTGTCATAATCGTCATTTTTGAACTTTTTTAAGGCAAATGGGTAAAAATATATTTTGTAACATGTTAAATTAAAATTTCATTTACGATGTACCATTGGAAAGTGACAATTGTCATAATCGTCATTTTTGAACTTTTTTCAATTTAATTGAAGCAGATAGATAAAAATATATACTGTAAACATGTTAAATCAATTTTTCAGTGATGAAAAACCTTGAAAAAATTAAAATATCAATGTTAATAATTTTTTTGGAATATTTTGAAGAAAATGGTTAAAATATAAATTATAAACTAGTTAATTAATATTTCAATAAAAGCCATAGAAAAGTGATAAAAGTCATAATTATTTTTAAACTCTATTTAATCAAATAGTAAAAATCTTATTTGTAAAACATGTTATATTAATATTTTAGTGTAGAAGAACCCGAGAAAAAGATTCATGGTGGCAAACCATCTCATAATACTTATTTATTTTTGGAAAACTGATTTTATTTATAATTAATATTTCAAAGCCTGTTTTTATAAGAGTTTCCGCTATTTTTTCAATAATGAAGCGTCTTTTTAACCACTTTACAATACTTCGAAATTTTTTTTATTTTCTTCAAAATATTCCAAAATAATTAACAACATGGCTATTTTAATTTTTTCAAAGTTTTTCATCACTGAAAAATTGATTTAACATGTTTACAGTATATATTTTTATCTATCTGCTTCAATTAAATTGAAAAAAGTTCAAAAATGACGATTATGACAATTGTCACTTTCCTATGGTACATTCAACGATATTTTAATTTAACATGTTTGCAGAATATATTTTTACCCATTTGTCTAAAAAAAATTCGAAAAATGTTAAATAATGACGATTATAATAATTGTCACTTTCCTATGGTACAACTTCACTGAAATTTTAATTTAACATGTTTACAAAATATATTTTTACCTTTGCATTAAAAAAGTTCAAAAATGACGATTATGACTGATGTATATTTTATATATATATATAATATATTTTATATATATTTAAACTATTATTCTTAAATGATTGATAGATGTCAATTATTATAAATATATATTTAGTTAGTAATATTTTTGTTGATATTGATTTTTATATGATAATCGGCGCGGAAGGTTTTGTAATAACAAAAAAAGAAACGAATGTTTTTGTATTCATTATTAAAATTATGACAAGATTGTTGGAATTAATAAAATTAGGAGAATATTTTATAAAAATTATAAGTTTGATAAATCATTTTGTTATAATTATGAAATAAAGTAGAATAAATAGTAAAAATATATTATATAATCGGAGGAATTAAATATATATATATATAATTAAATACTATTAGAGAGTTATTTTAGAGCCTATAAATTTATAATAAAATTAGAGTTATTTTATTGGTGCCGACTGACCAAGATACGTTAAAACTTATTAGGGAAAAAATAAGTTTGAGAAAAATATAAAAATTGAAATATTTAGAGAAAAAAATAAAACAAGAGTGTTTTATAAAAATAAATTTCAGACGTTATTAATCAACAAAAATATTTTCTAGGACCTCCTCAAAATTATAGTGGATTCTGGATATTTAAAAGTAAGAAAATTTTTTTTATTTGATTTTTAAATTACACAACGCAATAGTAGGATTTTTGGATTAAAATTAGAAAAATATAGATAAAAATTTAAATTTTGGATAATAAATGAAATTATGGCTTTTTCTTTTGTTACTGTTCATCGTAAGCCTGATTTTGATAAAATGCAGAATTATAAGGATCATTTTAATAAAATATTTAATTCAAAGTTTAATAAAGTGGATGTAATTAATAATATCATTACTGCAGTAATTTTTTTTGTGTTTTATGTAACTTTGATTATAATGAAACATGCAATTAAGAAAATAAAAAGAAGATCTATTAAAAATAAAGAAAATGATATAAAAAATACTAATACTGAAAATTTAATTTCTGAAATTTTGGTGAAATCTCCAGATATTTCTGAGGATATCCAAAATAGCTTACATTTAATTTTGTTAGAATTAAAAAAATTAAATGATAAAAAGAATATTATGTCGGAGGAAAAATCCGAGGAAGTATTAGATACTGGTGAAGTATTTAATTTTTCTCAGAATAATAATATATCAGAGGATGTCAATAAAAGATTAAATTCAATAGTGATTGAATTTAAAAAAAAAATTTCAGAGGTTTTAATTGAGAAACCTGTTGAAATTGTAAAAAATTATAATAAAAATAGTACTTTGAGACAAAGTACGGAAGAATCTCTAATTTTATGTGAAATTAGAGAAATGAAAGAAAATATGAAAAATTTGTTCAAAGATGTGTCCAACTTAAAAATAATAATATAATTGAAAGTTGTGAACTCTGTGGAAGAAGAGGACATATCGGTAAAAATTGTTATTCAAGAGACCGAAAAATAAATGAGAATGGTAATGCAAAACCAAGTGAAAAAAATGACATAGTGTGTCATAGATGTGGTTTTGTAGGACATATAAAAAGAAATTGCATGGTGAAAGAAGCCAATTTTAAAAGTGGATTTCCGCAAAGAACATCGGTAGTGTTACAACCGGTGGTTAGAAATATACAAAATCCTATTATTAAAAATGTGGATAAAATTGAAAATTATAATACAGATCATGATAGAATGTGTTTCCGATGTGAAGAAATGGGACACATTGCTATCAATTGTATTCAAAGTGTGAGTGGATTACAGTGACTATATGATTTGAAAGAGAATCATATAAAAATAGATAAATTAATTTTTGAAAATATTAAATTTTGTGATATATATAATTTTATTAAAAATTTTGTGGATATATATATTAAAATAGATAATCATCATGGGAATGAGGATTATACATTGAAATTTAACTTGAATAAAAAGAGTTGTAATGTTGGAAATTTTTATTGTCATTTTGGTGAAATAAAAAATTTTAAATTAAACAATAATCTGAATAAAAAGGATTATTGTAATCAAATGAGTGATATATATCCAGGGGAAATTTTAAATAAAAACAAAAATGAAATTCAGAGACTTTTAAATTCTGTGATGAATTTAGGTATGAATATTAATTATATTGACAATGAGATTAAAATAAATGTCATTCAACTCATTAAAATGCCTAAAAATTTAATAACTGAGGGAGCAAAAGAACAGAGTTCATGTCCTCATATTAATTTAAAATTTGGTGGACAAATGGTTGAAATGTTATTTGATAATGGGGCAAGTATTTCAATAATGTCTAGTGAAAATTTTTATAAATATTGGCCGAATGGTATTGTTGAGAGACAAAATATGTGTATAAAACAATTTGATGGATCTGAAAT